GTGGTGGCTCCTCGGCTGTGGAACACCCTTCCCGTGGACATCAGGCTAGCCCCCTCCCTGCTAATATTCCGCAGGAAGTTAAAGACCTGGCTATTTAAGAAGGCATTTGATCAATAAGTGCAATGACTGGCAATTGACCATAGGAATGGAACAGCGGAAATGATATCGGATTGTGGCTTGACGATGAGACGATTTGGAATGTAGTAGTAATTTTGTAGTAATGTTGTTGTCTGATAAGATGTTTTTATGATTATGACGAATTGTACACTGTTTTGCACTATACTTTGTAGATTGCACTTGTTTTTCTTCATGTTGTACACCGCAATGAGTCGCCCTTGGGGCTGAGAATTGCGGTATATAAGCGCAGTAAATAAATAAATAAACCACACCGATGATAGAATTGGGCCAAACTTCCCACACAGAACTCTCATGACCAACAGAAAGTACTGTGTTTTCTGATGGTCTTTGGCGACCCCTCTGACATCCCCTTGCGACCCCCCTCAGGAGCCCCGACCCCCAGGTTGAGAAACACTGAATTAGGGGGTTAGTCTCCCTCAGCAAGCCTCTCAAAAGAAAAACATTATAAAAAAATACCCCATTCGCCTGCTAGCTCTCTGAGAACTGCATGGGAAGGCATCTTGCTATAGTTTAGGCTCAACATAAGCCTTTTAAACAATTGACTTTTAAACAATTGAAACAATTATGGAGTGGCAGTTTAAAACATGGCTTGCCACATTTCATAAATAATATAAATATAACATTTTGATAGCACTTTCAAGTGTTCAGAGTGTTCCATATACACTATATAAATGTAATATTTACAACAATTCTGCAAATAAGCCAATGTTATTTATTCCCCATACTAACAGAGGAAAGTGAGACTGGATAAGGAATAAATCTTTTTCAAACTTGGGATTTTGTGTAGAAATCTCTTAGCCAAATAACTATGTCTGCATTATTAATGATACCAATTTCTTCAGTTCGTTTTCAGGGGGATTTTGTTCTGTCTGCAGTTGTAAGTAAATTGACCTAATACACAATTCCTAAGCCAATAGGCAGAAAAGGCATTTATTGTAACTACTGTGAATTTTGTAAAAAAAAAAAAAAGCCTTTTTGTTATTACATGTTTTTATGTATATTAAAATAAAATTTACTGCAGATTTTCTATCCCTTATCTGAAATGCTTGGGACCAGAAGTGTTTTGGAATTCATTTTTTTCCAGATTTTGGAATACAGGCACTCCCTGAGTTACAAACATCTGATTTGTAACTATATGACTCATAGTTACAAATGGGGGTGAGACAACAGAAAGTGAAAGGCCCATCTAGACTGCCATATAATCCAGATTATCAAAGCAAATAATCCATATCTGCTTTGAACCAGGATTATATGAGTCTACACTGCACCTCTAGCATTTAGCCCATGGAACCATAGCTGTTTTTATTCAGTTATCCTCAAAGTTTTATTCTAAGATGTATTTATATAGTCCGGAATTTAATCATTTATTTCCCTTCTCAAAATGTTCTGCAATGCTGATTTCCTTTTGGAGAACCCTACAGTAGCATCTATATAAATAAAAAAGTAATGTTCATTTGTGGAATTAACATAACTCAAAAACCACTGGATGAATTGACATCAAATTTGGACACAATACACCTGTCAGGCCAACGAGTGACCATCACGCATAAAAACACTGAAAAACACAGCAGAAGAGACTTAAAAAGAAAAGAAAAAACCCCCCACAAAACCACATATATACGCAAACACACACATATATACACATATACACAAATATATACACACATTATATACACACATATACACACACAAAACACATATACACAGACTGGGCCACAGCAACACGTGGCAGGGGACAGCTAGTCTTTTCATAATTCGATCGACAGTAGTGAAACCAGTAATTTATCCCCATCTCTTCTCTCTCTTTTAATTTCCATTGCTCTTTTTCTTTGATTAAGTACTCCCTGTAAGTTCTTATTTCTTCATTAAACGCTGCCAATGGATGCAACCATAGAAGGGGGTTTGGGTTTCATGCCCTCCCTATATCTCTTCCAAATCATCAGAAAATTAGCTCTTATTGGGTGTCTATTAAATTCTTTATTCCTCTTACATACCACAAATGGGGAAATTGCATACAATTTCAAACGTTCAAAGTTAGATAGTTGCAAGCTGAGTTACTAAAATTCAGTGGTAGCTGATTGCTTCACCCTCAGTCACTTGATGAATCAATTCCAGGTTTTACTGTGGGTTTTAAATCAGCTTGAATGCTGGACTGTTTACTCAAAATGGGTTCTTCACATGAGAGAGGAGCTCTTTTTTTTTTTAGTTCTTCGTAAAGCCCTGAGCAGAATTACTGCCTTGCTAAATGAAAGATGCCAGCTGCCACCCCCAAAATCACTGTATTAAAAACACTGAGATGCATGCTTCATTAGTCATTAAAACTATGGAAAATGGAATGCAGTTGTCAAGAGCTGAGTTTTAAAAAAGAGTATCTGTGACAGTAAATAACCAGTAAGGGTTCTTTTATGTATTAAAACATTTAGCCGTTGATGGAAGGACAATGGGGAATATATGTCTTGATTCTTCTCAGTACATCACTGCAAACATTCAGGAAGATTGATTGTAGAAGCACTATTGAGGTTTCAGTCTTACACACACTTTCCCAAGAGCAAGATTAAAGTCAGTGAGGTTTCTTTTTAATTAGACATGTCTAGGAGCACACTGTAAATCAGAATCTGGGCACTTGTTAGAACATTCAGTCAGACAGCTGCTTTATCTTACCTGTTACCCAAAATAACCAATGTGGAAGGATTGAAAATAAACCCCAGGATGGTTGTGTGAAGTGTCCATTACTATAAATGTACTAATCCATTGTTTTAACATTGCTTAGATACTATTCTTAGAAAAGGTTTAGAAAAGGCAGAGAAACGAGACCAAATTGCCAATATCTGCTGGATAATGGAGGGAAGTAGGGAGTTTCAGAAAAACATCTACTTATGTTTTATTGACTAGCCTAAAGCCTTTAACTATGTGGATCATAATAAATTGTGGCAAGTTCTTGGTGGTATGGGGATTCCAGTCATCTTGTCTGTCTCCTAAAGAATCTGTATAATGACCAAATAGCAACAGTAAGAACAGACCACGGAACAATTTATTTATTTATTTACAGTACTTGTATACCGCTTTTCTCACCCCAAGGGGGACTCAAAGTGGTTTACACATAAGTAATGGCAAAAATTCAATGCCAGTACAAACAGTTACAATTATACACTACGATTAGACATAAATCAAATTAAAAAATACATCCATGAACAATAAAACAATCATTAAAACAATAAAACAGACTGGTTCAAGATTGGGAAAGGAGTACAGCAGGGCTCACCCTACCTATTCAACTTGTATGCATCATGCAAAGTGCAGGACTTGATGAATCCAAGATTGGAGTTAAAATTGCTGGAAGAAACATTAACAACCTTAGATATGCAGATGATATCACTTTGATGGCTGAAAGCGAGGAGGAGCTGAGGAGCCTTATAACCAAGCTGAAAGAAGAAAGTGCAAAAATTGGGTTGCAGTTAAATATAAAAAACCAAGATTATGGCAACCAGACTGATTGATAACTGGCAAATAGAGGGAGAAAACGTGGTGGCAGTGACAGACCTTGTATTTTTAGGTGCAAAGATTACTGCAGACGCAGACTTCAGCCAGGAAATCAGATGTTTACTTCTTGGGAGGAGAGCAATGACCAATTTCGATAAAATAGTGAAGAGTAGAGACATCACACTGACAACGAAGATCCGCATAGTTAAAGCAATGATATTCCCCATAGTAACCTATGGATGCGAGAATTGGACAATGAGGAAGGCTTAGCAAAGGAAAATAAATGCTTTTGAATTGTGGTGTTGGAGGAAAATTCTGAGAGTGCCTTGGACCGCGAAAAGATCCAACCAGTCCATACTTCAGAAAATAAAGTCTGACTGCTAATTGGATGGAAGGATATTAGAGGCAAAGATGAAGTACTTTGGCCACATAATGAGAAGACAGGAAAGCTTGGAGAAAAAAATGATGCATGGGAAAATGGAAGGAAAAAAGATGAGAGGCTGACCAAGGGCAAGATGGGTGAATGTTATCCTTGAAGTGACTGGCTTGACCTTGAAGGAGTTGGGGGTGGCCACGGCTGACAGGGAGCTCTGTGGGCTGGTCCATGAGGTCACAAAGAGTCAGAAGCAACTGAATGGATAAACAATAACAAAGATACTATTCTAATTACTCCCCCAGGAGCCTTCATTTTCAGATAGCTGAAATTAGTAATTTACTTTTCTATCTGTTTTTCTTGCTTGCTTGCTTTCTTTCTTTTCCTAATCTGTAGGGCTAAATAACTAAATCCCTTGATGTTCAACGTATTCAAGGACTTGTTTAGCTGGTGCTGAGCTGAAGAGCCTCTTCATTTTGATTCTTTGCATTTTCTTTTCATTTCTGGCATATTCATCAAGGGTTTTTAGTAGGAACAAAATGACATCTCTATTTAAGTAACTCACACAAGTTTAGCTTTTTCAACATTGCTTTTTTTGTGAATTGCCACTTCTCTCCTTGGTATCTTTATTTTCAGGTCTTTTTGTTTTGCTTGGAGTGTTGTTTAAATCATTAATCTCATTTTGTGATCTGCTCCTGATGTTTTAATCTCATATTATTCCACATCCAAATTGATATTCTTCTCATCTTCATTTTATCTGTGAATTTCATTACCACTGTCCACTTTCCTTCTCTAGATCTTCTGGAAGATTAAATTGTAAGAAGAGCTTTGATTTTTATGTTTTGTTGATGAATCAGTTTTGAGTTGTCCCCCCTGCTCTTTCTCCTTGCTGTGCAGTGAAAACAGAATTTGAAGTGCTTGGCAAATCCAGAAATATCAGCAAAGAAAGTGATGTGTTCTCTTCTTTTGCATGCAAAAAGAATAACATTGTCTTCTGTTTTCCAAAAAGATGATGACCTTCCTGTGAAGCCTCAGAAAGAATGGCTCCACATGGACAGTGTAGAGTTTGAGAAGCTGGAGTGGATGAAGGACCTTCCTCAGCCTCGGCAGAAGAAAACCAAAAAGGTCAGAGAATAAAATGCAACCTTTCTTGTGTTCAGATTATGTTTTCGTAGGAAATCCATCCTTATCTGTTGTCCTCTGTCAGAGTAAAGCTCTCATAACCCTCAGCCAGGATTCTGACTCTTGTTTGGGGATGATGGAGCTTTTATTGGTAGCTCAGTATATTGAAACAGTGACAGATTAGGAAAGGCTGAGGTCAAACAGTAATTTCAAGAGTTCTGAGGTCAAGCAGTAATTTCAAGGGATCTAAATCCTACTAAATTGGATGTATCTGGATAACATAATCAGCAAAAATGATGGTCTTTTTTTTTCTTCTTCCCCCCTTATAGGGTATGCAGGCACGCTTCAGTCTGAAGGGAGAACTTATTCCTCCTGATAAAGATTTACCTACACATTTGGGCCTTCATCACCATGGAGAGGAAGCAGAAGTAAGAAAAATGTATATTTGACACTGTCCTAAATCCTACTGATAGTTCCAGCTGGTTTAGATCTATTGACTGGTGTCAAAGTGGAATCCTCGACATGCGAGTGTGGAGAGGAGCAAACCACTGACCACCTGCTGCAATGCAACCTGAGCCCTGCCACATGCACAATGGAGGACCTTCTTGCAACAACACCAGAAGAACTCCAAGTGGCCAGATACTGGTCAAAGGACATTTAATCAACTACCAAACTCACAAATTTTGTATTTTGTCTGTTTGTTTGCTTTGTTCTGTTAGAAATGTAATATAATTTGACTGGTTGTCCTGACACGACAAATAAATAAACTGGTGTCTTAATATCTATGTAAATCCCATTGTGCCAAAGCATCTAGTTGGGACTATTAAAGGGATCTCTAATTCTATCATTCTTTATGTAGTCTTGGACTAGATAGGCAAGGTCTGATGAATGAATCTGAGCTAGAAGTGAAGAGCAGTTCTTTATTTTGTATATATTAAAAGAAGAAGCAAACAAATAATTACTGTAAGAGAAAATTATTTGAATAAGAAAAATAAATAAAATAAAAAATTCCTTACCACCCTACCAGCACTTGAAATAGTCACTTTTGTAAGTCCCTTGGTGTTTCTTACATACATATAATTTCAACTGTAAGAAGATGTCATGCAATGGAAAATAATATTTTTTTAAAAAAAATCTTCTTGATTAATTTTTATTTTATAAAAGTGTCTTTGTGACATTCCACATTACCTCCTGGTGGGTAAGAAATAAAATTGTTATTATTATTATAGCTTAGAAATTTCGACACAGTTATAGAATACAATATATATAGTCATTTTTACCATATTGGGCTTGCTTAGATATTTTATATATTTATCTTTTACCGCAGAGGGCTGGATACTCTCTCCAAGAGCTCTTCCATTTGTCTCGCAGTCAAGTCATTCAGCAACGGACTCTGGCTTTACAAGTGCTGGCTTGTGTTGTCCAGAAGGTGAGTTAACTGTGAGATAGAATTGTCTCTGTGTTTGTTTGCCTTTTCCTAGAGGCATGCATATCAGTAGGATCTAATGAATATCAGTGCATAAATACATTAATTATTCAATTAGCCTCATTGCAAAAACTACACGAGATTGAGGGGAAAAAATACACACATCTGAATTCGGCGTGAAAAACTCTATAAGAATGATCTAAAATTATCTCTGATGAAAAATACTTGTTGCCTTGCGTTACATAAATATGATATGAAATGTACAGACTTTACAGTAGTTCGCTGTAATTCATCATATTTTAAAAAGTTGATATGATGGAAAAAATAAAGACTTATTTAAAATCAGCAAAAAAATTGATTCTAACTGTGCTACTCTCATTTCTGATTATTACAAAAAGTTTGATTTTGTTGGCTTGTGTAATGATATGTTGCTATAAATCACTATCTTTGAATGTTAGTTGCTTCAGTGACCATTCATAGACTCCCATTATTAGTTCCGATTATAGAAAACGTGAGTGACAGTAAGGCCTTCTTCTATATTTCATTCGTGTGTACTTTGCGAAAAACATAGTTTTCCTTCAATGATACTTATTTCATCAAAGAGCAGAATGAAAAAGAATTTTTTTTACAAAAACTGGATTATAAAATGGAGGGGATGTAAGAGTCCAGCAACATGTTGGAGACTAGTTGGTTTATTTTAGCATTAGATTTTGTGGGTATAAATCCCATCACGTCATTTTTTAAAAAATGGTGAAACAGACTGACACATATTTCTCTATAAAATCAGAAACACCAGATTTGCTTTGGTTTTGTTGTAATTGTTTTCATTTCAGCTCAAGGTAAGGTTACCTTTTAATGGTGTAGGAGGTATTGTTGAGTAGGAGGTGCTGCCATTAGCACAGGGAGGAGGTGCTGTTGTCACTGTGCTAATGGCACTTTAGTTTCCCAGTTATTAAGAGGCTATATTTCAATGGCTCCACTGCTGATAAAAGTAATAGTGGAAGAGGTTAGTGTGCTATACTGGTGACTATCCTCCAAAATAGCCACCCCCTCCTCCTCTTCCTTTTTTTTAATGACTTTTATCATATGTATTTCAGGCCAAGGCAGGGGAGTTTGCCACCCTTCTGAAGGGAAGCGTCCTGCAAGTGTTGCTTGATGCTGGTTTCCTCTTTCTGCTCCGTTTCTCCATAGATGACTCAGTGGACAATGTCGTTGCAGCTGCTATCCATGCACTCCATTCTCTTCTGGTCTCTCCAGAGGATGAGGTTATATTTCTTTGAATCTATTTGAAAACTACTTGTAAACATTGGTATCTATAGCAATTAATTCCTGACTTTCCACTCAATTTTTTATGTGTCCTGCATTGAATCCATCCTTAGGGATAGGGAGCATATGGCCATCCAGATATTGTTGGATTGTAACTGCTGCCAGCTGTCATCATCGGCTTCTATAGGTAGGGCTGATGGGATTTCTAGTCCAAGAACATTTGGAGACGCACATGGTTCCAAAGCCCTGCTTTGTTTTCTGTTGGGCTTGTATTTGTTCTCACTGACACTCCATGTGCCTGTGCTTTCCTTTATGTGCTTGAAAAATGTTACTTTATATTCCTGTCATTCTACTCATAATTATTTCGGACCCATGCAGAGCACATAATAGATGGAAATGACTACTTTTAAGGACCTGTTATATTTCTCATATTGTGAAACTTGTGATGAAAAAACTGCTGATTAAAGAAAATAGCTTGAAATTGAAATTGAGGTTTTTGGAAGCTGTTAAATAAATGAGACCACATACATGCAATTTATTTTCAGCTAGAATGGATGAGCTTTGTTCAACAAAAATGTAAAGCAAAGGAAGTAATAACTATGGTGGCCACATTCAAATCCCTTCTTAGAATATGAGTTGCTTCCTTTTGTGTCGTTGTGCTGATAGAACTGTCTCTGCCAGTGCAACCATGAAGTGGATTGTCTCCTAGCCTGTCGCATTCAGAGCAAAATTATTTCTGGAAAACATGCCAGACCAGAGTTTTGAATAGCAGAAGTCAGCCAGATAAATGGAGAAAAGAAGAAAATCCCATCCCATTAGAGTCTTTGTATTAGTGAAGTGGTACCTTTAGTCCCATATGTCTCAAAGAATATTAAAAAAATGTTCAAAAAAGATAAATTAGTAACATTTTGCAAGCTGTTTTCACCCATTTGTTCAATAAGAGACTTACATTTATTATTCTTTTTGTTCAATAATTTTTATTCAGAAAAACTAATTTACAATGATAGAAAGCAAGAATGCAAACCATAAGACGAAATCAGTAGGAATACATTTTCTTAATAGAAAAAATATACTACTACAACCACTAAACACTGGCAAATCTAAAGATCTACAGATCTAAAGTACATGGTCTAAGGGCTTTACTTTCTCTGCCTGATGGTTTTATTTTCTCAATTTTCCAAGCCCATTAAAAGAAGAAACATCATTTATAAATCCTTTCCCTATGAGATGGCACTCTTCTAACTATGGTTTCTCCTCAGATCATATAAATCTTTCGCCATTTACTTAAATGTATTATTCTGTAGCAAAGCCATGAATCTCCATCAAATGTATTTTAATGGAAAGGGCACAATCTAGTTTATTTTATTTATCTGATGAATTTGTACTCTGTCTTTCCTCCAGTGATCTCAGGGCAATATTCTCTGAACGTGGTCCATCAAGATCTATCTTTGATTCATTTCTATAATCATAATGTTGGAAAGAGACCACACAGGCCATCCAGTGATTGCTTCTTGGAATTTTCCCCTTCCAGGAATATCTTGACAAGACTTTTTCATGGTATCAGGGTATGACCTTTCACCCTTTCACCCCCAACAAAGAGGAGGAGGAGGATGAAGAAGAGGAAGACAATGAACTTGAAACAATCCAGAAGACAGTGGGGAGAAAATCAAAGGATGAAAACAAACCAGATCCAGAAATCGCACGATATGATGTTGTGAAGGTAAGTTTCTCAATTCCCCCCCCAAAAGCCATATATATATATATATATATATATATATATATATATATATATATATATATATATATGAATAAATGAATAATAAGTAGTCAGAGCTTACTTAGCTAAAACCCTTTCAGATCTCACTTTCCCTTATGGCTCAGTGACTCCTTTTCCTCTCTATCTGCTTAGGTGGAGGTTCTTTTGAATACCACTTGAGCAGATATGGGGCTTGAAGTGCTTGACTCACCCAGTCACAGGTCCATGGCATGTTTCAAGAGACATTTTAAACGAGTTTATTATTTTATGGTGTCAGAAAACGAAACAAAATAAATTGAAGAAGAGTGAGTGGCTGTCAAAACACATAACTTTTGTCCTTTAAGTCCTCGGGAGAATGTGAATGTGGTTTATTAAGATTAAAAGAAAGGCCCTTGTCCATCATCATATTTTCCATAATATCCAGCCAGGTGCCTGGGGGAAAACTACATGGAGGCCATGAGAGCAATAGTTTTGTCCTGTTATTATTTCCTAGCAACTGGGATTCAGAGACATTTTGCTTCTGTTGGATATATCTGTTTTATGTCCATTGATAATCTTATCCTCCATCAATTTGCCTACTAGAATTGACCATCTTGAAGTTCTGAATCCTACTGTTTTTAACAATGCACTGTACAAAGAAATAGTCTTTTAGTCTGGCTTGAAAGTCCTTTTGTTTGGCTTGATTGGGTGTCTGACCCTGGGTTCTCATATTTTTCAAGAGGGGAAATATTTATCTCAGCTATTTTCTCCATACCTGAAAATAATTTTATACATTTAAATGGCCTTTCAGAAGAGTTGGCTCTATGCTTATATTATATTTTGGTCTTCCTTTTCCAGTTCTACAATACCCTCCTGCCTTCACTTTCCTTTACTACTGAGACAGGAAAACTGGAAAGTTAGCTTGTTTTGAATACTTAACTTTAAAACATTTGGCTGAAGTTGCAGATAAGCAAAGGGATTTGATTAGCTTAACTAATAACTTTATATCGGAGAGATCATTAAATCGTAAACAGAAATCCAGATGATGGTAATGATAATGATTCACTTTTTTCCAAGGGGCTTCTGAAGACCAAAATTCTTCACCGCTTTAGGTACCTTCTGGAAGTCATGCAACCTGTTCCTTTGGTAGTCCTGGAAATTCTAGATATCCTCACTTTCATCACAAGGCACTCCATTGAAGCATGCAGCCAGGTAGGTGCTTGTGTATGTCTTGAGACTTGGGGAAAAACAAGTGGAAAATTGTTCAAAATGTTTATTACTATAATACATAGAATCATAGAATCAAAGAGTTGGAAGAGACCTCATGGGCCATCCAGTCCAACCCCCTGCCAAGAAGCAGGAATATTGCATTCAAATCACCCCTGACAGATGGCCATCCAGCCTCTTTTAAAAGCTTCCAAAGAAGGAGCCTCCACCACACCCCAGGGCAGAGAGTTCCACTGCTGAACGGCTCTCACAGTCAGGAAGTTCTTCCTCATGTTCAGATGGAATCTCCTCTCTTGTAGTTTGAAGCCATTGTTCCGCGTCCTAGTCTCCAGGGAAGCAGAAAACAAGCTTGCTCCCTCCTCCCTGGGGCTTCCTCTCACATATTTATACATGGCTATCATATCCCCTCTCAGCCTTCTCTTCTTCAGGCTAAACATGCCCAGCTCCTTAAGCCGCTCCTCATAGGGCTTGTTCTCCAGACCCTTGATCATTTTAGTCGCTCTCCTCTGGACACATTCCAGCTTGTCAATATCTCTCTTGAATTGTGGTGCCCAGAATTGGACACAATATTCCAGGTGTGGTCTAACCAAAGCAGAATAGAGGGGTAGCATCTTCCCAGGATCTAGACACTATGCTCCTATTGATGCAGGCCAAAATCCCATTGGCTTTTTTTGCCGCCACATCACATTGTTGGCTCATGTTTAACTTGTTGTCCACGAGGACTCCAAGATCTTTTTCACACGTACTGCTCTCGAGCCAGGCGTCCCCCATTTTGTATCTTTGCATTTCGTTTTTCCTGCCAAAGTGGAGTATCTTGCATTTGTCACTGTTGAACTTCATTTTGTTAGTTTTGGCCCATCTCTCTAATCTGTCAAGATCGTTTTGAATTCTGCTCCTGTCCTCTGGAGTATTGGCTATCCCTCCCAATTTGGTGTCGTCTGCAAACTTGATGATCCTGCCTTCTAGCCCTTCATCTAAGTCATTAATAAAGATGTTGAACAGGACCGGGCCCAGGACGGAACCCTGCGGCACTCCGCTCGTCACTTCTTTCCAAGATGAAGAGGAAGCATTGGTGAGCACCCTCTGGGTTCGTCCATTTAACCAATTACAGATCCACCTCACCGTAGTTTTGCCTAGCCCACATTGGACTAGTTTCCTTGCCAGAAGGTCATGGGGGACCTTGTCGAAGGCCTTACTGAAATCCAGGTACACCTATCGAAAAAAGAGATCAGATTAGTCTGGCATGACTTGTTTTTGATAAATCCATGTTGACTATTAGCGATGACCGCATTTGTTTCTAAGTGTTTGCAGACCACTTCTTTAACAATCTTTTCCAGAATCTTGCCTGGTATCGACGTGAGGCTGACCGGACGGTAATTGTTTGGGTCATCCTTTTTTCCCTTCTTGAAGATTGGGACCACATTGGCCCTCCTCCAGTCTGCTGGAACTTCTCCCGTTCTCCAAGAACTCTCAAAGATGGTTGCCAATGGTTCCGAAATGACTTCCGCTAGTTCCTTCAATACTCTTGGGTGTAGTTGATCTGGCCCTGGGGACTTGAACTCATTTAGAGCGGCCAGGTATTCCTGGACGACTTGTTTCCCAATTTGGGGTTGGATGTCCTCTAATCCCTCATCCACTCCGTCTTGCTGAGGTTGAAGATGACTTTCTTTTTGTGAGAAGACCGAGGCAAAGAAGGTATTAAGTAGTTCTGCCTTTTCCCTATCCCCTGTCAGCATTGCCTCATCTTCTCCTCGAAGAGGCCCTATCGCCTCCTTGTTTTTCCTTTTTCTACTGACATAAGAAAAGAATCCCTTTTTATTGTTTTTAATGTCCCTGGCAAGCCTGAGCTCGTTTTGTGCTTTAGCCTTGCGGACCTTTTCCCTACAGGTGTTGGCTATTTGTTTGAATTCTTCTTTGGTGATTTCTCCCTTTTTCCACTTCTTGTGCATGTGTCTTTTGTGTCTTAGCACAGTTAGAAGTTCTTTGGACATCCATTCTGGCTTCTTTGCACTTGTCCTATTTTTTCTCTTTGTTGGCACAGTTTGCAATTGCGCCTTGAGTATTTCACTCTTGAGAAATTCCCATCCATCCGTAACTCCCTTGTCTTTTAGTATCTGTGTCCACGGAATGCTGGTCAGCGTTTCCTTCATTTTTTGGATATCAGCTCTCCTAAAGTCCATAATGCGGGTTTGACTTGTCTTAGTTTCGGCCTTCCTTTGTACCTCAAATTGCAGGAGCACATGGTCACTTGCCCTTAAGGATCCTACCACTTCAACCGCATCGATCAGGTCCTCCGCATTTGTTAGGATGAGATCAAGAGTAGCCAATCCCCTTGTTGCCTCTTCTACCTTCTGGACCATGAAATTGTCTGCAAGGCAAGCGAGGAATCTGTTGGACCTTATGCTCTTGGCCGAGTTTGTTTTCCAGCAAGTATCGGGATAGTTGAAATTGCCCATGACTACTACATGACTACTAAATACAGTTATTTAGATATTCTGAAAGGTCACCTAATACTCTGGAAGCTTTCATGTTCTCAACCAAGATCCTATACAAAGTAAAACTGGGGTGGAGGATGGGAACACGTGGATTATTTTAATTTATGGAATCTTCATCTGGTTGCCAAAAAAGATTATATAAAGTATATCTGGTTTACTGGTATAAACTTGTGTGTGTGTTACTTGCTTTCTGTAATTGCCTGTAATTAGCTGATAATCCTTAAAAAGGAGCAGCTTCTGTAACCTAATTACTCGCCAATGGAAGTCAATAGTATTCTACCTTGTGTTGAAATCTCGTAGCAGAGCCATTTGTTTAGTAAGTGGAAGTAAGTATGTTATTGTCTCAAATGAGTTATATAAGGATTGTTATATTGTAACTGGGTGCTGGTTAGCGTATCTATTTTGTCCTCTTTAAATTTAGTTTATAAAGCCTCAGAAGATATTATTGCAAATGAATGAATGGACCCTTTAAAAAAACCTGAAGAAGAGATACTCCTCTTGAAACAAGGACATAAAAACACCTGGGAACCTAGTTGTATTCCCAAGACTGTTTATCACATTTTGAATTCACATGGGACAATATTGGATATGTTGAAGTTTGTCCACACGACCTTTGGAAGATCTGACAAATAATTTAGAAAAACTTGTATATTATGTTTGCTACATTGTTGTAAATTGTCCCTGAAAGTTTGCTGCCCATGCCTGTGTATTTTATAAGTTAGTTGGGTATTTTTCTCATTACTCCAGTTGGTATTTGTGCTGAAGTTTATCGTAATAGGACATTTGTGTATTAACATCTCTGGATCCTGGATCTGTAATTTCAGCTTACCTCACACTGTCAGGCCTCATATTTTTGAATGGTATTGATGTCAACATTGACATACTGAAGCATTCACTGATCATCCATAGTTTTTCATATCCAGTGTGTCCTGGAACCAAACCCCCTGCCTGTACAGTAGTTTTACTGTATGTGTACAGTTTACTATATACAGTAAAATTGCTGTATAGGCAGGGGTTTGGTTCTAGGACTCATTGGATGTGTGCATATTTGTGTATTTATTGATCAAACCAATGTGTATGGAGCTGTAGGAACAAACAAGCTTTGAATGAAGAAAAATGGGAAACATGAAGCCATTAAAATCAAACTAATTGGTTGCAGTTATAAGGATTGCATTACAGGTTTAGTCTCCTTTATCTAAAATGCTGGAAACCCGAAATTTGAGGTTTTTTAATTTTGGAATATCTGTATTTGCATATAAATGATGAATGAGAGATAGGAGGAAATTGGGTTGTCACACATCCAGCACCTACTGAGTTCCCCACCTTGAGGAGCCTCCACTCCACCACTGATAGAAATCCCAAAGGGTAAAGAGAAGAACAGGAAGTTATGGGACTCCACTTACATAAGGCCCCTGAAAAAAGCAGGCATCCCACATCCCAAACCCTCTCCCATGTTCCCACCAAATGTGCTTGAGCAGGTGGTGGGTAAGAGAGAAAACCTTCCCCAGAGGATCATAGATTTCTAACAGGTTGGTGGTCAATGGCCCTTTGCCCTTATGTCCTATGCTCTTGCTCACCCTTTCCACATGCCACTGTTGACTTAGTGGAAGTTGATAGCAGAATTGTCTGGAATGGCTTCCTCTCTTCCTGTATTTTCCCTTCTCGTTAATTGATACAGTTCTTAGTTCCTTGGTCCAAATTGGTCAAACATATCTCTCCAGAAGTATGTCTAAGAGGACGTTATGCCAATTTACATGACCTGCAAAAGGGTTACAAATGGTAGAGGGAATTCTTTGGGTATACTTTGGCAAATTACAAAGCTTTGTACCACTATAGACTCCATGTTTCTCACTATTCATTTTATTCCAAAATGTGTGTTTTTCAGGTCTTGAATTGCCCTCGTCTGATTGAAACTGTTGTCAGAGAGTTCCTGCCCACCCAGTGGAGTCCAAGAATAGCTGAACCTGGGCAACTTCTTACAAGCCTTCATGGAGTTCCATGTGCAACAGCCATGAAACTAATTCGAGTCCTGGCATCTGGGGGGCGAAACGCAGCAGCCAGGCTGGTGAGGACAACAACTGGTCACAAATCTCAAACTAATTAAAGTTAAATTAAAAGGGGAAGAAGTGGAATTTGTAAGACATTATAGTTGATTTCCAGGACTACCTAACAAACAAAAACACATTTAATAAATATCCCCACAGTCTAGTTTGCTGCCATTCTTTCTGACTTACGGACACAACATTTAGATTCTGAACAGTGGAAACAAATGGTAGACAATGCAGATATTTATGATAAAGGTTTTCAGAAAACCTGCATTCAGGTTTTTTTTATTGTGTCAGAAGCAACTTGAGAAACTGCAAATTTCTTCTGATGTGAGAGAATTGGCCGTCTGCAAGGACGTTGCCCAGGGGATGCCCAGATGTTTTACCATCCTGTGGGAGGCTTCTCTCATGGGAAGCTGGAGCTGACAGACAAGAGGTCACCCCATTTCGTGGATTCAAACCACTGACCTTCAGGTCAGCAGTCCAGTGGCACAAGGGTTTAACTCATTGCGCTACCGTGGTTCCATTCCATTCAGGGTGGAATTCTAGAAGGCAAAGAGGTTGGAAGCACGATGACAGTGGGTAGTATGTGAAATGGAAATGCTGTTTTTAACTCTTAATCCTTTGGCATTTCTTTGGCTTGTTTAGGAGACATAAGAAAAATCCTGCTAGACTCTTGTAGACCCAAAGGTTGTGACCTCAAAACCTCTCAAGATGTCTGCCATAGATGCAGGCAAAACGCCAAGAGAGAATGCTTCGGGAACATGATCATATAGCCCAAAAAACTTACAACAACCCAGTGATTCTGGCCATGAAACCTTCGACAATACAAAAGTAGTTTTTCTCAGTCTGGCTGTTTGATAGATATATCCTGTTTTCAAACTATTTGATGGTCATAGCTAGGTGTTCTTTCTGTTGTCCATGAGGTCTAGATAAGTTGCCTTTCTGACAGGTCTTGCCACTTGTTCACCTATCTATTACTTGCAGCTTAATAAGTTTGAGATGAAGAGTCGACTGAGCCGTTTCATTGCTGAAGAACCTCAAGACCTTCCTCTGAGAACTGAGGATGCCATGAGGATAAACACCGAGGCTTTCCGCTTATGGGCTGTGGCGGCTGGCTATGGACAGGCCTGTGACCTCTACAGGTACACTTCCAACATTAAAAACACAATCTCATGTTTCTTCCTGTATAAAACTCACCATTGCGTACTGTAACATAATTTCAGTCTTTATCCAAGGAAATATTTTGTATTTTTAAAAAGCCACTGTGGTGGAAAGGAGATCTTCTTGCCCCCACCCCTTTCCACCTACAAAGAAGATTTAGATTTGTCATGTTGCTTCTCAACAAGCTAAAAGGGACAAATTGGTTAAACTTGTAATAGATTGCTGAACTCTTCCTCTATAGTCAAACCTGCAGCTAAATTAAGCCAGAAGCAAGTGATGTTCTATTTCTGTAAAGACAGCTGATTTTTTTTATCACCACTACCACCCCAGCATCAGCAAATGTGTCATTCTAATGTATGTTCATGGAATTTTCCATCGTGGGATTTTGGTTTTTGTTGAGAGTAAACTAGGAATTTCGGACTGTTAGTTAATACCTCTCCTTTCTGTGATGGCTGTCCCCACCATATTTCTCAATTTACAGGGATCTCTATCCTGTGCTAATGAAGGTGGTCCCTTCTCTGTCTCAGCTGGCCAGTGATTTTCTGATTAATAAATCTACATTTGAGGTTTCTATCCAGCGAGCTGCAGCTGTCATGACTCTGCTTACCCAAGTGACACAGACAGCAGGCTGCAGAGCAGAACTACAGGCCCAGTTAAGCAGGTATAACCACTTTTGCTCATTTAACGATTTGAAATATATAGCCCTCTTATTTAACAATTCCAAGCTGGTGTGCAACATTTGTTAAACTAAATACAGGTTGAACATCCCTTATCCAGAATCACAAAATCTGAAATACTCCAAAATTAAAAATTACTCACATGGGTGGCTGAGATGTCAATATCTTTGCTTGATAATGGTTAATGTACACAGACTTTGTTTCAAGCAAATTTTTCTACAGATATTGTGTATAAAATTGCCTCAGGCTGTGTGTCTAATTTGTGACTGAGATATCAGTGAAGTTTACATTTAGACTTGGGTCCTATGTTCAAGGTACCTTGTGAAGTACAAATATTCAAATACATATATTCCAATATCTAGCAAAAAAAAAAACAAAAAAAAAACTTCTGGTCCCAGGCATTTTGGATAAGGGATACTCGATTTTTGTTACGCTGAAATACAGACCTTCAATAAAAACTAAAAGTCATGAAGCTTGGTGCTATAATCAGCAAATGCTTGATTAAACAAGTAAGTTTCCAGTTGTGTTCTACAAATCCCCATGCCACTTATTTGTACTTTCTGCCACAACAAACATTATGAAGTTTGTCTGTCGAAATTCTTATATTCTTAACATGATTTTGATTATTTGTCTGAGTGGTTATTTTATGTACCAGATTCTGTTTGGAATGTTTTGCATCATGTTTACATGTTTAAAATAATTGCAGGGTGACTTGCAATATAACAAGCAGTTAGAATAACAACAATATAAATCTAATTAAAACAGATAATAGAGGGAAGAAAGAGGAGATAAGACTCCAAAATCCTTATTTATACACAGTCTGACCCTTGCATCCATGGGATCGTTATCTGCAGTTTCAGTTATGCACATCCAATAAAACATGTCCTCTCTAGATATATTCTAGGTCCTCCTGGGAGACTGTGTGGTATTTTGAGGCCAGAAATCCTTCATTTCAGTAAGGTTCCTATTACCTGTGGTTTTGTGAATCCAGGCAAAGTCAGGGAATGTATCCCCATGAATACAGTATTGTATGAAAGGAAATTGAAAAATGTAAAATCTCACCAAATAATGCCCCTACAAAGGTTTGCAAAATAGTAGAAAGCAATCAAATAGTTTATTCCCTGCCTTTTTTCCCTATCAAGAAATTATGGAGTTGGAAGAGACTGTAAGGGACAATCTAGTCCAATGCCATTGTCATACAGGAAAGCACTCTGAAGAAATGGCCATCCAGTTTCTGTTTAAAGATTTCCAAAGGAGGGGAGTCTGTTGCCCTCTGAGGCAGACTATTCCACTTTTGGGGGTTGCTGTGAGTTTTCTGGACTGTATGGCCATGTTCCAGAAGCATTCTCTCCTGATGTTTCCCCCATATCTATGGCAGACATCCTCAAAGGTTGTGAGGTATATTGGAAATTAGACAAGGGAGGTTTATATATCTGTTGAAGGTTCAGAGTGAGAGAAAGACTTCTTTGTCTGTTGGAGGCAAGTATGAATGTTCTGATTAATCACCTTGATTAGCATTGCAAAGCCTTGCAGGTTCAAGGCCTGGCTGATTCCTGCCTGGTTGAATCCTTTGTTGGGATGTGTTAGCTGGCCCTGATTGTTTCATGACTGGAATTCCCCTGTTTTCAGAGTGTTGTTCTTTATTTACTGTCCTGATTTTAGAGTTTTTTTAAATACTGGTAGCCGATTTTGTTCCCCTGAAAACATCTTAAACTTGCCTAGTGTGGAATGTTAGCTGCCTTGAGTCCCCATGGCAAGAAAGGCGGGGTATAAATAAAGATAATAATAGTAATAATAATAATAATAATAATAATAATAATAATAATAATAATAATAGCCTTTCTGGCTTAATTCTACTATCCATGTTTGGACAGGAAAATGCCTGTGCCAGAATGGCTATCGTTTGTTTTGCTGCACTCCCAGTATGCATTATTGAAAGTTAGTTGTTAGCTGACTTGAGTCCATATATTGGAAGAAAGGCGGGATAAAAATTAAGTAAGTACTGTATTGTGAATAAATAAATAAACAGCTTTGTGCATTGTAGTTTAGTCAGTATTTCTTACTACACATGTTGCTGCAAGGAGAGGCGAATAATACATTCATTATTATTATTATTATTTTACTGACACAAAAACACAGTATGTCAGAGCAAACGAGATCTACATGCTGGATTTTGTATCACAAAATCACAAGTCGAACACTTCCCAAGCGTCTAGGACTGTGTGATGTATTTTCGAATGATGCGTGCAGATCCAATTAAGGTGGCCTTTTGCAGTTGACAGATTGTAATTTTGTCAATGTTGATTGTTTCCAAATGCCGGCTGAGATCTTTTGGCATGGCACCCAGTGTGCCGATGACTACTGGGACTACCTGTACTGATTTATGCCAGAGCCTTTGCAGTTCAATTTTGAGGTCCTGATAACAGCTGAGTTTTTCCTGTTTTTTTCCTCAATGCGACTGTCACCCAGTATGGTGACACCAATAATCCAAGATTGTCTTCCAAGATCATCATCATCATCATCATCATCATCATCACAATCATATGTTCAGGGGCAAGGGTTGCCTCTCTTCACAAAACCATTCACTAGAACAGTTTTTTCTTCTCCCCTGATAGATAACTAGAAGGAATAAGGATTAAATACAGCCTTGTTTTCTTTTTTATATTTGTTTTCAGACATTTCATCTTTGCCCAAAATTATGACTTAGTAGTTTTTAGTCTCTAGATTGCCATCTTGTTTCATTTCTGTGTAATGCTTGAATGACATCTTCTATAAGTGTATGCTTTGCAGAATTTTTCTTGAACAGCTGTATGATCTAGGAAAAAAGTGCAGTTTGTTAGCATAGGTCCCTTATGGGACTGTGGGTTCAGAATTCGCAGTCTTTGTTTTGAGGAGAACCCTTGAAATAGAAGAAGAGAGGATTTTAAAATGTCTCCTATATATGATACCTGCGTAGCTTTGGTTTTCTTTTTAAAAGACATTTTGATAGAGCTGTTAGTAGTGATAACGATAATGCCCCAGTTGTACAAATGTTGGTATAGGACTAATGTACACAAGCTCCCCATGAGATTGCCCTTGAAAATGGTTAAGAAATTGTATCTGGTTAGTTGCAACAAGCAATTCGATGGGCTATAGCTTACTCTGTGCCCAAAGTGATATCTATTTTTTGTTGGTTATAAACAACTTCCATTTCCCAAGATATTGTCACTAACCTTAGATGTGTCAAGGAGATTGACACAGCGGCCTCCTGTAAGAAAGAAACTTCAAAATGAGATTAGAGTTGCTGAGTTACATTTCATCAAAAGCTCCAATCCATTTCCAAAGGCTTGACTCAGAATAAAGGCTTCTTATCACATTGCACATGTTTATCCGCTCACCTAGTTTTAGGTTTCTTGTATTATCAGCAACAACACTTTGGGTGAATGGCCACACTAATAATGTTGTTGCCAGTAGTTCATATGATTTTCTTTACACATCAGTAAAAAAGTGCCATAGAGCTTATTTTTGCAACAGATTATCATGGCTATCATGGTAGAAATCCCTTTTAAAAACACACTCCTTCATTCTTTACCTCATCGTAGAATGAGTGGGCTGAAAAGTCTTTGTAGAAGAACAGTTAATAGTGGTATTCCTTAGGGATACAATATTGAGGCCAGCAAATGTCAGTTTTTATTCCTGCTGTAGAGGCAGACAGTGAATCTGACTGGAAAGATAATCAATCAGGTGGGTGTAAATACCCAGCTCAGTCGAAGAGTGGTAGGTTGATCTAATGAAACTGTGACTGTGGCAAGTGTGGGAGCGTTTTGAGGTAGAACAGATAAGAACAAGTAGGGGCAGAATGAAGAAACATTTCACTATTATGCCGGACCAAGCAGCAAAGAAACTTTAATTTAGCTTAAGGTCTGCTTTGTACACATGACATCCAGTGATGATTTGCATGTATGAGCAGATATAAAGCAGTTGATGGAACCCTCAAGCATCTCAAACTTTTCAGTGGCGCTTCTTATTTATTTATTTATTTGCTGCATTTCTATACCACTTTTCTCACCCCTGGGGGGACTCAAAGCGGTTTACAACATAATAAATGGCAAATTCAATGCCTCGCATATATATAAAAATATCACATATCTAAATCAATAACATATAACTGTAGATAAAAACTGTTAAAACTATAAAAACATCAAATATAGACATAAGCATGAAACATATTATTGCTGCAATTAACAATGTAGGCCCTTCTCTTGTCCCCCCTACTCCCCAACTTTCTTTCCATAGCGTTTCAGCCCTTCTTTTTATACCCTCCCTGCTTCCCCCACATCTCAACAGACACAAAGTTATTTAGGTACAGAATGAATACAAAATGGGGTGGGTAAAAAAAAGTCCTGGGCCTTCTTGGGGGATGGTAAATGTGATATGAGGTCCTTGGGGCAGGTGAAGGTAGAATCATATCTTATGATGGTAGTAGGCTACTGATCAGTTTCGTAAAAGACCAGAGGAACATAGATTTTATCAGTTGTGGTGTCATAAGTCAGGTGTGGGCTATCACTTGCCAGTAGACTGAGGATGGGGAAGGGCAACAAAGTGCAGCAGCCCCTGAGGAGAGTTGGTGTGTAGACTGCGCCTTCCACTATGGAGGAGCTGAAGTCTCCTGGCTGCCTTTTCACTTCCTCCTTGCTGGGTTATTAATGCGTTGCTTTGTATATAGAACAACTTCAAATCAAACTGATATAGCAGCTTGTGCGATCCAAGGACTATGGCCTATTCCTTTCCTTTTTTGCAAACATCTATTCTGCTTGTTGTACAATCTCTGGGCACCTCATAAAACAATGGGAAACATATAATAAAGGCACATAATAGATTGGTTATTACTACTTAAACTAATTAATCCACTAAGCTAGTTTAACCTTTCTGAAAATAATACATTTGATCAAGGGACCAATCAGGTTCATCTGGTCATCCATAGTTCCCTGTCTCAAGCAGTAATCGGTGATGATGCATAATTATCTCCCTTAATTAATGCACCGGGATTGTGGCGCAGCTGGCTGAGTGTCAGCTGCATTAAGATCACTCTGACCAAAAGGTCATGAGTTCGAAGCCAGCCCGGGCTGGAGTGGGTGTCCAGCCATTGTGTAGCCCGTTGTCGACCTTTGCAACCCGAAAGACAGTTGCATCTGTCAAGTAGGAAAATAAGGGACCACCTTGTGTGGGAGGTAAATTTAACTAATTTATGAGGCCATAAAGAAAAAAGACTCCGGGGAATGTGGAATGCGGAAGAACTTCATCGGTGTCGTTGATGGACGATGAAAAGCAGCAGCTCCCCTGGCGGCCGGAAAAAAAAAAGTTAAATAGCCTCGGTGTATTTGTGTGTTAAATATTGTTTGTCAAACTGGCATTGAATGTTTGCCATATATGTGTTTACTGTAATCCGCCCTGAGTCCCCTGCGGGGTGAGAAGGGCGGAATATAAGAACTGTAAATAAATAAATAAAATAAATAAATCCTACATTCTTTTGCAAATTCAGAGGTTGCAACAAAACACACAAGAGTTGCTGCATATTTAAAGCAGCTCTTCATATGTTATTAAACTATAATATCCATCAGCTTGTTTCTTAGCTAGAATGGAAAGAGAAGATGGGACTTCCAACAACATCTAGAGCTTCTCCCTCTCAGTTCTGGGAAATTGTGTCTTGCATTTCCCTTGGTTATTGTTGTTGTTATTATTATTACTATATTATTATTATATTTATTTATATCTCACTTTTTCTCTCCATAAAGACTCAAAGTGGCTTACATTAAAAGTATTTCAATACAATTTAAATTCTTCAAATATATGAATATTAGAATTAAGTATCAATGGTATTAAAAATTCACAGTTTAAATCCATAAAAACTGATTAAGACATATTCAAAGATAAAGCTTTAGTACTTTAGTACTGTAACTTAGAATTGGTGGGCAGGCATCATTCGTTAGAATAAGTAGGCAAGTTTTAAGAATGTGACTACTTATTTGAAGAATTTACATCTTCAAATAAAAAACCCAATCCAGAGCTGGTTAAGCCTAAACTTACTCCACTGCATGATGGAGCATCAGAACTCCTGCAGAAGGAAATTGCAAGACTCCAAGAAGAAAATAAAAAATCGAGGAGCAGATAAAAGACAATAGGAGTTCAGGCTACCAGTGCACTGGATAAAAAATCAAAGTTAGAGAAAGCTCTCCAAAAGCTTGAGATTGTTCAAGGAGATCTCAAGTTAAACGCTACACAGGATCTTTGTGAACTAGAAAGTAATATGGCTGATTTGAAGTACAAATTCAAAAAGACTTTGCATGATAGTACTGCAAGCCAAAAATCCCTGGAAGAGAATCTGGTTTCAACAAAGCATGACCTGCTTAAGGTTCAGGTCCAGCTGGCTATGGCTGAAAAGGAACTGGAAAAGAAGTTCCAGCAAACAGCTGCCTATTGCAACATGGAAGAGATTCTGTCCAAGAAGAATGACCAGGTCAAGGAGCTAATAAAAAAGCTTTCAAAATATGAACCAGATGATTAAGATCAGAAAACATTGGCCATGTCAAGGCACTGCCATATTGGATAAGCAGACAGTTGAGGAAATAAGGGATCTATTTTTGAATATGTTGCAAGTTACACTTTTCAAGAAGTTTGTTTCTAATGTTCTTTTTCTCTTTTTTGGGATGAAGTCATAGCAGAATTGAGAACAAAGAAAAGGGCATAGTCTTATTTCTGTATTTCAAGCCTTTGTTTTAATAATTATTACTCTATCTATTGCCTATAAACACAGAGCACCTATAGTAAAAATATTCTTATTTTAAACAAAGGATAATTTTTTAATTCCTTACATATTTGTAAGATGCATGCCCAAAGAATCTATTCCATGCAATCTATATGTGTCCTAAATATGGTTTTATTTTTACAATTGTAGTAGCAGCAGGAGAGAAAAAAACGGTTTTGTACAGTAATAACAGAAACCCATTGACTTCTCAATTTCCAATAAAGTTTCATCTCCAAGAGAAAAGGCAAAAAAGAAAAAAGAAAGAATGTGGCTACCATTGCTTCCAAGATGGCATGGAAATTTTGAGCTCTGAAGTTAATATTTGTGTCTAACATTTATTGTACTCATTTGGATATTTCTCCTTTCTCCTGTTTTTGTTGCTTTTGTTGCTTTTTTATTATGCTTCTTGCTTCCTCTTTTATTTGAGGCAGTGCCCCATTTTATTTTGAAGTGGAGTTTCATATTGTAGCATTGTGCTTTCCATTTATACCATAAGATTTAAAAACCTTAGGAAAAAGCACCAATTCTGCTTGTTTATCTAGACATGTGCTTATAGCTGAAATCTCTGTTTTGTTTTGGATATTTCAGTGTTTCACATTGCAACAAAATGACTTCAAAACTGCCCAACATACTAAAAGAGACAGACAAATAAATCTGTCTAAACAATCTTTACAAGTTCTCATGTTCATTTTCCTCTATTATCTTTAAGCTTCACTGGCCTGTTACATTAGCAATTTAACACTATTCTTCATATTTTACCTTTGGTTCTGTTGCAGGAGTGATCCAGAAGATGGTGACCCAATTCCCCCTCCACCAATCACCTGGAGCCAGGTGTCAGGTCTCAGAGCCATCATTGAATCTGTCTTGAAGCAATGCCTTAAGGATATATCCCATCTGAGTTCCTGGCAGGCACTGCAACCTCTGAGTGCAGCCTGCATGCTCTACCTGGGAGTGTATTACAGTCATTGCCGTCAACAGGTGAGCCTAGCAGAAACAAAGCAACATCTCTTCCAAGTTTCTTGTAAGTTACGTATTTAACTTTTCCTTCAGTGCAGCTGTCTTCCCAAAGAAGACTTGAAGCATTGTCAAAAGAAGGTTGTAATAGAATGTAAGGGTCTTTTATTCTGGCCTTTTTTTAGTCAAGTGCTCTGTTAAAAGAGTTTTTTATTAAGTGTAAGCAAATTTCAAAGTTAATATCAGTGATTTTGAATGTTATGATTTGCCCAGGATTTACATATGAAATTTGCTCAGAAATTACATATGAATTCCCCATCTTTGTATACGTAATATTTGCTGCAAGTCATACTGCAGGCTCAGAGTAGATTCCCCGTAAATTAAGGTAGGCCCTCCAGTTGTTAGATCGCAGCTCCCAGGACATAACTGTCCTACTCAATTTAGCTAATTCTGAGCAATACTGAAAGTTGCAGCCCAATATTTGGAGAATCCTGCCAAAAATCCTCTCTTGATAATCTTTAACCCCATAGGTTGGTGTGGTGGAGGGGTGTGTGGCCTCCAGGTGTTGCTGAACCGTAACTCCTGCCAGTCCTTAGCAACATAGCAGTGGTGAGGGCTGATGGTATTCAACTGAGTGACACCTGGATTATGGGAATTGCAGTCTAACAACATCTGGACAGCCACAGGTTCCCCATTCGTACCACAACAGTGCATCAGGATAAGTGGAACTTGCCCAGAGGAGGGTGGTGAAAATGCTGGGGGCTAAGAAAAAAATAAGTCTTCTGGGGAAAGGCTTGAAAGAGTTGAATATTTTTGGTAACAATATTACTAAAAGGCAATTGTATAATCAATCAATTATCCTAAAGGACCAAGAAAAATTAAAAATCTAGTATTGTTAATACCTGGGATTATATAATTTGCTGATAGCATCTGAGTCTTTGCAGTACAGTGGGGAAAGTTCAGTCCACAAGCCACATGCCTGTGTGGTTAAAAAAATGCTTACTTCAAAATACTTTGTGTGGCGGAGAGCCTACATGGGTCTTCAAGGGATGAAACACATTGTTAACAACATTTTGCCATTTTTCTTTCCAAAACATTTGTCTTCCAAAACGTCCTCTGGCATTGGAGGCATGAGACAGGTCTCATTTTTCTGAAGCAGGACGTGAATAGGACGTGATGTCTACCTTGTTCCTGTGGTTAAAAATTATCTCTGGGGTGTTAAATGACCCAGGAAAGGCCAAAAACATAAAACCGGGATCACGTTTCTTTGTGGGGATTAGTATGGCTCTCCAAGGTTTCTTGAGGGGGTTAATGGGGCACCTGCCCTTCCACCTTTGCTGTACAGAATAATAAATGCTGTCAATCTCTGCTGTACAGAAACATAGCAATTTCAGAAAGATTGATTTCTTCTTGGAAGGAGCTGGAAGGAAAGTCAGGTTTTATTTGATAGGAATATTGATGGAACTTTGTACCAGACATTGCATTTGACATTAAAGGCCTGTTGCACTAGTTCCTCACATTGCAAGCCCAGCCATTGTTGGAGAGGACAACTTGACCTTCATTGCTTTAATAAGTACCCCAGGGGTAAACATATTTGTAGGCATTGCTGAAGCATAATGAATTACTGTATTGGGTTTTATCATCAATCAAAATAAATGTCAATGGCACCTTGAACTGAAAAGGAAGACAAATCAATTGGTCTTACTCTTGCTGGACATGGATTGTTGACTTCATTGAAGTGTTCATAGACTTCCACCCCTTGCCCCATATTCTCCACAGCCCTCAGTGAATGCTGTTGACTGCTTAGAGGAAGTGGAGCATTTGAGCTCTTCAGTCCTTTTACCTCTCCTCAGCCAGCCAGCCATGCGGACTCTGTGGGAAATGCTAAGGTAAAACTATTTCCAGGCATGTAACTACTTCAAGTCAGCAATCTAGACTGATAATCAGACTGTGAAACAGTTACTTTCCCAAGCTTTGGTATTTCTTTATTGCAAAGGTACTGTAGCATAGCTTTGAGGAACAGCTGTGGGTGATTGACATTCATTTGAATTAACAAGTCTGGGAGTGTGTGTTCTTGATTCTGTTCCAAATCCTGCTTTTCTTTCCCCATGACAGTCTGCAGTCCTCTATGAAATCAAGCAAAGGTGGTTTTAAGTAATGTTCTCCTAGTAGGAGATGCCAACATTGGATCTGAGGCCTTCTAAACACAAAGCACATGTTTATTTATTTATTTTATTTATTTCTGGTTTTTCTATCCCATTCCTTTTCAACCCCCTAAGGGGGACTCAGAATGGCTTACATTTGGCAGCAATTCGATGCCAATACATATATAACACAGCAATATCATAACAATTAAAACAATGAGTAAAACATTCATTAAAACAGTAAAAAACAGGATTAATAGCCGTAACATTATTCCAGTCAATTCCATATTCAAATACATGTTCAAATGCATGCTCATAAAAGCATAGCCTGTTCTTTCTCTCCAGTAAAGCAAAGGTAAAAGTTGCCCCTTGACATTAAGTTTAGTTGAGTCTGACTCTGGGGGGTGGTTCTCATCTCCATTTCTAAGCCAAAGAGCCGGCGTTGTCTGTAGATGTCTCCAAAGTCATGTGGCCGGCATGACTGCATGGGGCGCTGTTACCTTCGCACCGAACTGGTACATATTGATCTCACATTTGCATGTTTTTGAACTGCTAGGTTGGCAGGAGCTGAGCTAACAGCGGGAGCTCACCCTGGTCCCCGGATTTGAACCTTCAACCTTTTGGTCAGCAAGTTCAGCAGCTCAGCGGTTTAACCTGCTGCACCACCAGGGGACCCCAAGACATGGGCATTTAATGCTGACTCTCCACATCTGAGGATCTTAATTAGTTCCTTCATACCTGTTCTTCCAAAACTCAATCTTGGTTCTGTAGCTGCTGCCTCCCCTTTAATTGATGACTGAGCCAAGGTGTAGAAGATTTTAAAATATTTCCATGATTTCACCATTGACTTTAGTTAGATACTGTAAATAATTAAATTGTTTTTACTATTCAACAGTAGTCCTGCTTTTGCAATATCTCTTAATTTTCATCAGAAGTCGTTCCAAGTTTTTGCTGTTTTCTGTTAGTCATATGTTGTCATCTGATATCGTAAAGGACTGACATTTCTTTCCTGAGTTTTCATGCTTCCTTTCTCTGAATCTGATTCTTATCTGATTCTTATCTCATATGATGTTCTGCACATAAATTAAATAAAATCCAGCCTTGTCTGACTCCCTTTATAATGGGAAAGCATCCTGTTTCTATGTTGACAGTGGCCTTTTGTCCAGTGCATAGATTAAACATCAAGACAAACAGATGTTGTGATACACCAATTTCTTTTAGAGTGAGCCATATTCCTTCATGATCTACACTCAGCAGCTTTGTTATCATCTATAAAACATAAGTTGATTTTCTCCTGAAATTCTATTGCGGGTTCCATTATCTAGCATAAGTTTGCAATAGAATCTTTAATCATTCTTCCTTTTCTGAACCCACCTGAAACTTCTGGGAGTTTTCGCTCCTATATAGTGAAATTATTTATTGGATAATATTGAGCATCACTTTGTTTTCATGGGAGATCAGTGCAATAGTGCAACTATGGTTCTTGGTGTCCCCTTTCTTCAAAAAGTATCCAAAATGTTTTTATTCTGTGGGCTATTGTTTCCTTTTCCTTATTTTGGGGCAGATCTTTATTAGAGTTTGAATGAATTCTGTCTCTATCATTCAAAACAGCTCTATTGGTATAGTATCTGTTCCTGGAGATTTCTTTCTCGAGTGCTCCCTTTAGTTTCACTTTCTAAGATTTTGGATTCATCAAAGAAAGATTTTTCTTTGAAATAATCTATCAGTGTTTTGTCTCTTTTATTTAGTTTCTTAGTATATCATTTTTTGTAATGTGTCCACCTGTTGTTCATAAAGCATCCTTCCTCTTAATTTGAATTTCCCTTCAATTACTTGGACCTTGTAGAAGAGGTGTCATGTTCTACTTTTGTCTTGTCTTCTGTTTATGCTGTTCATTATTATTATTATTATTATTATTATTATTATTATTATTATTATTATTATTATTATATTAAAAACGAGGGTGAGACAACAGGAAATGAAAGAAATCTACCCCTAGGAAGGGAAATTCACTCCTGAAAGAGTTATCGGGGGGAAATGTGTCTCCACTGAAACTTGATCACCAATCCTTGTTTTCACAAGAAACCAAATTTCTCAGATTCCAGGGACAAAAAGTGAGGTGAAATCTTCTGAACACAGACAGCCAAACAAACACAAGAGGAGTGTTCACCTTTCCTTATGCGATCCAAAGTGTGTATATGTGTACGTGCACGTCTCTGTGTGTGTATATATATGGATGGAGATGGGCTTTAAAATGTACAGGTTCTTTTTTATTAAAAAATTTTTAAACCTAGAAGGATATATACATGTTCTGACTTGCATACAAATTAAATTTAAGAACAAACCGACAGAACTTATTTTGTTCATAACTTGGGAAGTGTCTGTACTGCACTATATTGCTGATGGGCCCTCAATCAATTAAATACCTATTTTAATTCCACCATATGGCGGGATTTAATTTAATTTAATTTAATTCCATTCTCCCATATGGCATATTTAAAATACAGATTATAGTGCAGTTCTGTAAATGAGACTAATAAAACCTTCTTCATGGTAGGTATATAGAAGGTTGCTTATTTATGTTCCTCACTGCATTTAAGTACACATTTTTGCTTATCTCACAATAGATTCCTTGCTTAGATTTTTCCAAATGACTTGGGTTTTTTACTATGTAAAATGAATGCCTGTGGTCATATCATATCATATCATATTAGAAATTAACTTTCTCTGTCTTTCTCTTTGTGATGCAGGCCATGTTCGGCTGTGTGCAATCCTTTGTCCTGCTCTCAAGCACCAGAATCCCTCCCCAGCATTAGTTCTCTGAGCTGCATAGGAGGCAAGCCCCCAATGAGCTTATTGGGCTCTAAATCGCCTTTCCCTTTTCTTACGGCCCTCCTGGTCCTGGTTAATAACATCACTCACATCCATAAAGGACTGGTCGGCAAGGTGAGAACAGGGATCTCCTGTTGTATATATACAGCCAGGTTAGGAATCATGCAGCCTGCTAGATGTTGTTGGACTGGGGCAAGGTGGGGGGGGGGGGGGGGGGGGGGGGGGGGGGGGTTACAGTCCAACAACATGTATGGTTGTCAAGCCTGATGTAGAGTGTTTCTGCAGAGAACCTGTTTTGTTTGCCTGAAAGCAGAAATAAACAGGGGGCTACTTCTGCTGGTCATAAAAATTTGACATGATGGCAGGAACCAAGTGCAGGAGATAATTTTGTGATTGCCAGGTGTTAATACCTGCCTCTTTTTAAACAGTATGCTGCTATATTTGATGAAAAGGGTCTGGAAAACTATCTTGTCCAGTGCTCAACCAGTGGACCACCTTATCTAGCCCCTTCTTCTGCATGGCTCTTGCGACTTGAGTACCACTTCCAATATTTTGTACTTGCACTGGCTCAGAAAATGGTAAGCTCTCTGCTTCAAATATCTCCTGTGGGTTGTTCAATTCATCTGCTAATTATAGAACCTGTGGGGGAAGGAGGGAGATGGGGAAGATGCATGTGACTTGGGCTTCTTTAACAGAATCTGAGGCCAACTGTTGCACTTTCCCAGTGTACAGGCACACATGTGTGTGGCCCTCTTTTGATATAGGTATTGAGAAAAGAACATGTGGTAATGGTATCTCTGACATTAGTCTGTACTTTATTATGTCCTAAACTATGCAACCTCTGAGCAATGTATAATGTGTATTGAGTTAATGCTAAGTTGACAAAGAGTTCCTTCAGATTATTGAGGGACATTCTGATGTGGTGGTCACCAGAGAGACCCTTGATTGGTGTGATATCAGAGGTATTACAAAGCTTAAAATGGTGGAGAATTTTCTGAATCGAAATACTCAGTGAGAACAGGACCGCTGTTCAAGATGAAGAAACGAATAGAGCAAGAGTTAGCAGCAGAACCTGGTACTCCATTGAGAATAACTGAATCTCAGCAGCAACAGAGACACCCTTCCTTTTGCCAGGAATGAACATGTATGTGATCTGTAGATGTATTCACCTTACATGGCATGTTTTTGCATTATAATTTTGAACTAAGACAGATTCACTTGATATGCACAAGATACACAACATTATTATTATTATTAGGGTATCAGTGTTAAGCCTACAAAAAGAGATTATCATTTATTTAGTTAATCAAGTATTCTCTTCCCCTCTTTCCCTATTAGCATTGTTTTTATAACTAATTTTTCTTCCAAGAAACAAACGTACAGCCAAACAAAGACATATACAGCAAGACAGAATTCACAAAACAAAAGAACCAGACTCACCTTACAAAACTAAAACACACACTTTTCATAATATAAAACACTAACCTACAACAACTCACAAATTCAATCTAAAACAATCATCCTTACCATTACAACACATACCTACTAAACACATCCTACATTTAGAACAATTAAAACTAATCTATAAGCCTCAAACTCTGCCTATTAGTCTTAGGCCCCTTCTACACTGCCATATAATACGGATTACCAAATCAGATTATCCACATTATCTGCTTTCAACTGGATTATCTGAGTCTACACTGTTATATAATTGAGTTCAAAGCAGATAATCTGGATTGTTTATAGCTGTGTAGAAGGGGCCTCAGTTTCTCAATGTACTGTTCTCTTGAAATATCCCTATATGGCCACCTTTCTACTTTTAATAACATTCTAAGGTCCCATCTACACTGTCATATAAAAGGCAGATTATGTGCTTTGAACTGGATTATATGGCAGTGTAGACTCATATAATACAGTTCAAACTGGATAATGTGGATTATATAGCAATTCAGAAGGGGCCTAAATCAACATTGTGAAGCAACCAGATATTAGGGCATATAAGTTAAGTCAACAAAAATAGACTGCCATTTTTTTTAGTTTAGTATACATCCATTCCCCCCCCCCCCCTTTCCCCATCGGCACCTCTAACAGTGATGAACATTAGGATCTTTCATTTTCTCACATTCTTCTTGACAGAATTGCTTTAACTCTTTCTAGCTGAATAGAAACTTGGACCTACTCTTAGGTTTTGCTGTAGAATCTCAATGGGATTGAAGTTGGGTTTTCTGAGTTATTCTGAAACATTTGTATTCTTATTTTTAAACTTTTCCAATATTACTTGGGTCGCTGTCCTACTGGAAGGTGACCCAGATTTTGGTTGACAGCTCTCTCTAGGTAGAACCATTGTTTAGTAACATTCTTTCCATTTTGTAATGTTAAATGTAATAATTCCCAAAGGGAAGTTCATTCTTTGGAGTATTTTTTAATAATCAAGCTCTGAGTGGTGCTTATACTCCATCATTGCCTTTTATGGTCTTCATGGTGTTAAAATCTGGGACCTTCTATAAACAGGTTTAATCTGAAATCATGTGGCACTAAAACTGCACACAAATAGACTCCATTCAAATAAACTCTGTTGCAACCCAATGTAGGCACTGGGTTGCAAGTGTTTATTTACCTACATCAAAGTAAAAGGGGTGAACTCTGGGAATCAAAAAATGTTAGTTTGACTATGTTTACATCACTTTTTGGCACAATAAAAATACTTTATAGCTTGACAGCATTGGGTATTTTGTGTCTAACATGTCATAACTGAACAGTTCTAGATTGGAAATTTCATTGAGACCACCCCAAGCCTCTCAAAATCTTCAGCATTGCCACCCCCCTAAAACCTTTCTGTTAGAATATGCTAAAATGTCTTGATTGGTGAAATATACTGATAAAGGAGACCCACATCCTGTTTGGGGGTAATTTGCAAAAAGGAAAAAAGCATTCAAAAATAGTAAAGCAGCAACAACAGCAATAGCAGCAGTTTGGCGGATCAGAAGCAGACAAAAAGGCCAACAGACAAAGGGCTTTTCCCTACCGTCTAACTCAGTGGTTCTCAACCTGTGGGTCCCCAGGTGTTTTGGCCTACAACTCCCAGAAATCCCAGCTAGTTTATTTATTTATTTATTTATTTGAGGCACTTATAGACCGCCATTCTCAGCCCTTACGGGCGACTCATAGCGGTGTACAGTACATATAAAAGACAAATTACAAACCAGTGTCAAAACATATAGCAACAATTACAATTACAGACTACACAAAAATCCGCTTCGTCTCTTAATAGAATCATAGCCAATCTCATCAGCCTTATACCATTCCAGATCTCATTACCGTATTATCTGTTTCTTAGCACTTAAGTAAATGCCCTCTCGAAGAGCCAGGTCTTAAGGTTCTTCCGAAAGGACATGAGGGAGGGCGCCTGTCTGATGTGTGTCGGGAGGGTGTTCCACAGCCGGGGGGCCACCACCGAGAAGGCCCTCTCCCTCGTCCCCGCCAGCCGTGCCTGTGATGCCGGCGGAATCGAGAGAAGGGCCTCCCCAGACGATCTCAAGGTCCTCGTGGGCTCGTAGGCCAAGATGCGGTCAGAGAGGTATTTTGGGCCGGAACCGTTTAGGGCTTTGTAGGCCAACCAGCACCTTAAATTGGGTCCGGTAGCAAATCGGCAGCCAGTGGAGCTGGGACAGCAAGGGCGTTGTGTGCTCCCTGCCCCCCGCTCCAGTTAGTAACATGGCTGCCGCGCGCTGAACCAGCTGAAGCTTCCGGGCCGTTTTCAAGGGCAGCCCCACGTAGAGAGCGTTGCAGTAGTCCAGGCGGGATGTGACAAGAGCATGTACCACCGTGGCCAAGTCTGACTTCCCGAGATACGGTCGCAGCTGGCGCACAAGCCGGAGCTGTGCAAATGCTCCCCTGGTCACCGCTGAAACCTGGGGATCCAGGCTCAACGCTGAATCCAGGGTCACACCCAGACTGCGAACCTGCGCCTTCAAGGGGAGTGCGACCCCGTCCAGCACAGGCTGTAACCCTATATCCCGTTCGGCCTTACGACTGACCAGGAGTACCTCTGTCTTGTCTGGATTTAGTTTCAGTTTGTTCGCCCTCATCCAGACCGTTACAGCGGCCAGGCACCGGTTCAGGACCTCGACAGCCTCCTTAGTAGCAGGTGGAAAGGAGTGACAGAGTTGGACATCATCTGCGTACAGATGACACCGCACCCCGAAACTCCGGATGATCTCACCCAGCGGCTTCATGTAGATATTAAACAGCATGGGGGACAGTATGGAACCCTGTGGCACCCCACAAATCAAAGGTTGTGGTGCGGAACAGGAGTCCCCCAATAACACCTTCTGAGTGCGACCCTCCAGAAATGATCGGAGCCACTGCAGAGCAGTGCCCCCAAGACCCATTTCCGCAAGGCGCCCCAGAAGGATACCGTGGTCGACGGTATCGAAGGCCGCTGAGAGGTCCAGGAGCACCAACAGGGACACACTCCCCCTGTCTAGCTCCCGGCGCAGATCATCCACTAAGGCGACCAAGACCGTCTCGGTACCATGCCCCGGTCTGAAACCAGACTGTGCCGGATCTAGACTATCCGTGTCTCTCAAGAATACCTGGAGTTGTGCGGCCACCACGCTTTCCATGACTTTGCCCAAAAAGGGGAGATTGGAAACAGGCCGAAAGTTGTCCAATTTAGTGGGGTCCAATGATGGCTTCTTCAACAGCGGCTTTATAATAGCCTGTTTTAGGCTCGCTGGAATCTTGCCTTCCCGAAGGGAGGCATTCACCACCACTGTTACCCACTCAGCCAAACCCCCTCTGGCCTCTCTCAGAAGCCAGGATGGGCAGGGGTCTAGGATGGACGTGGTGGGCCTCATTCCTCCAAGTATCTTGTCCACATCCTCGGGTTTCACAAACTGAAAAGAATCCATCAAAATAGGACAAGCAGGTGCTCGTGTCACATCCTCTGAGACTGCATTTAACGCGGTGTCCAGCCCAGAACGGATCAAGGCGACTTTGTCTGCAAAGAACCGAGCAAATGCTTCACAGCGCGTGACCGAATTGTCAGGGCTCCCGCCTGAGGTGGCGGGAGTTAAAAGACCTCTGACAATCCGAAACAACTCCGCCGGACGGTTCTTTGCAGACGCAATAGTGGCCGCAAAGAAAGTTTTCTTTGCGGCTTTTATTGCCGCGGCATATGCCCTTAGAAAGGACACAAACCGTGTTCGATTTGACTCGCTCGGATCCAAACGCCACACGCTCTCTAGTTCCCTCTTCCTTCGCTTCATCACTGCCAGCTCCTCAGTGAACCAAGGAGCTGGTTTAGCTCGGCTACTTGAGAGGGGACGTTCCGGAGCAATCATGTCAATAGCCCTGGTCATCTCCCCATTCCAGAGAGCGACCAAGGCCTCAACATGGTCACCTACCGCGGTGGCGGGAAAATCCCCAAGAGCCGTCAGGAAACCATTCGGATCCATCAGTCTCCTGGGGCGGACCATCTTAGTGGGTCCTCCACCTTTGCAGAGGCTAGGGGGCGCAGTGAGTCTAAATCTGATCAGGAAGTGATCGGTCCATGGCAACGGAGAGATGGACAACTCCTCCACACCGCCACCCTGTTCCCATCCCTGACAGAAAACCAAATCCAATGTGTGTCCAGCACAGTGGGTGGGGCCAGATATTTGTTGGGACAGCCCCATGGTTGCCATGGCAGACATGAAGTCCTGAGCCGCACCTGTGAGGGTTGTCTCGGCATGAATGTTGAAGTCTCCCAGCACAAGGAGCCGTTGAGACTTCAACGCCAGGCTCGAGACCACCCCCGCTAGCTCAGGTAGGGAGACTGTAGTGCAGCGAGGTGGACGGTACACTACCAGAATCCCTATACTGTCCCGGTCACCCACCCTCAGGTAGACGCTTTCAAAGTTTGTGGTCTGCGGGATGGGGCACCTGGTCAGATGGATAGAATCCTTATAGATCACTGCGACTCCGCCTCCCCGCCCTCCGGATCTTGGTTGGTGCTGCACGGAGAAACCCGGAGGACAAAGCTGGGTCAGATTTACTCCTCCCGCTTCATCCAACCAGGTCTCCGTGATGCACGCCAGATCTGCCCGCTCGTCCAAGATTAAATCCTGGATCCAGGTCGTTTTTCCGTTGACAGATCTGGCGTTCAACAGCACCACCTTCCATCCAGAGGGTCCGCTCACCTGGTTACACCAATTTACCTTAGGAGACCGAGTTGGAATTGTTAATATTTTTGATAGCTGGTCCGAATTTTGCCGAATTTGAGGTCTCCTTCTCCCGCATCTCCAGCTTACCAGCATCTCCAGTTTACCAGCTGTTAGGATTTCTGGGAGTTGAAGGTCAAAACATCTGGGGACTCACAGGTTGAGAACTAGTGAGATTCTAACTCATCTGTCTATCCCAGTCCTTGATGAGGACTGTAACCTTGTGCTGGATGTGGTTGAGTTCTAACACATTCCTCATAATAAGTACTGATGGGACTTGCAAACTAGCAGCCTGTGGAGTGTGGATGTTGGTGGTCAGGATGTATAAACCCCACATTACGAAAAATCAAATTTTCAATCCAGTTTTTTCTATCACCACATTGAGCATCCAGAGTTGGAGTTTGGGTAGAACTATTGAAAGCTGTGGGGCATGAGTGCTAAGGCAACATGCACCTGCACAAACACTGTCCCCTGTTGCAGCTTCCCATAGATTCTGTAATGTTTTCTCCCTGCATGCCTGTATGTCTCTGTCAGCAGAAAGGATGGTAACACTATTATGTACTGAATGTTTGTTTCCTCTCCAGGCAGATACTTGTCCAGATTACAGCCAGCATGCTTCGCTCCATCACTGTGTTGCCATGGCACTGTTAAGTCGTTTGTTGCCAGGCAGCGAGTACCTGGCTCATGAACTCCTACTAGGCCTCATTTTCAACCCCAAACTGATTCCGTAAGTTTTGTTCACACCTCAGCCCCCATTGCTTCAATTGAATAACCTTTTTTTAGAATTCAGGTAGGATGTGGAGAAGCTATTTAGGAAAAAAAAAAGAAAGAGAATTTCTAAAACTAATTGTTAAAGTGGCCTAGTGGAAAAGCAGGCCTGGCCTGTTCTAAGTCTCTGCTCTTGACTTAAGAAATATTATGTTTCGATTCCATTATGCTGAAGCATATAAATCTTGCTTTTTTGACCTTCCCAAAGCCATCTAAGGATTTTTATACATCTCCAAGCCTTCCTTACTGCTTTTCTGTTTGTAAGCTGTGTGTGCTGTGTGAAAGCTTCCATTTTTTTCTGGATGTTTCCTATGATAGTGGTGTGTCACTGTTATTTCTCCCAAACTGGGAGTTTGGAAATACTCCTGGCAACATAATGAGCTCCTGCTGTTGCCAGTACTATTTGAACTGTACTGTACTGTAGTGACAATATGAATTATGAATGATGGGGTGATAGTTGAAGAAAGCCATCCAAACATTTCTCTCTCTTCCCCCCCCCCCCCCCATGCACGCACACACGCAAATCAGTATATTATTTTTAGTAATTTATGGCTTAGAAAAATTATGGCTTAGAAAAATTAAAATAGAAATTATAGTAAGCTTTTAATATTCAACAATGTGGAGGTAAGTTGAGGAAATGATTTGATCCCAGCATAAGGACCACGGAAGATTTAAATGTTGCCCACACTCAGCATTTCTCTATTGTCCAGCATATGAGTCAGTCTTACCTGAAATCTGGAAAGCTGAGTTTCATTCTGGACTGTACTGAAACCCCATCCTTCAGCTCTGTCCCGATCATGTAGCTTCTTTTTAGCATTTCCCTGGGGTCATGCTGTACCTGTGTCTGTCTGTCTATGGTTTGTAAACAAAGTATTAATGCTCATCATATATTTCCTTGTTTTTGTAGAGAAGGCAAAACAGGGGGACCTGAAGCTGCTGACTTGTCAGATCTTCTGCACTTGGATTCAAAAGCAAAGTCAGCACAACCGGGCTCAGCAGCTGTCCTTTCTTCACTCTCTAGTCGTGGAGCTTTACTGGAGGACGCATTTAACCACCTTCCACTTATCCAGTCCTGTTACCGCTCTCATTTTGTTTACTTGGAGCCGGCTCTTGTTCGTTCCAGAAACCTTTATCAAGGACGAACGCACCTTGTCCAGTCCATGCTTCTTCCTGAGGCCAAAGGACCCATCTTGCCTTCTGATTGGCCTTACCTTCCTCTTATCAGCCTCTATAACAAAGTGACTAGTACAGAATCACAGTGGGTTGTATTGCCCTCCCTTCCTATGGATTTAGTGAACACTGTAACTCGGAACCTTCAGTGGGCCCTCCTCTTAGAAACTTGGAGAGCCAGTGTCCTTCAGGACATTTCAGCAGCAGCCAGACTTGCAAGGCTCATGTGTATCTTCCTCACAGGCAGCAATTTGTTCCTGGAAGGGCCTGTTCATTGCTACACTGCTGCCCTCCTTTCACTTTACTGCCAGTCTAAAGTGTTAGACTCCTTAAACTTGGATGCTGCCCTCCCTGGCTTAGCTTCTTTCTATGACCTCTACATCAACCTTCTGGAACAGTTTGAGAGTGTTTCCTTTGGAGACTCTCTCTTTGGAATCTTTGTGCTTCTTCCTCTGCAGAGGCGGTTCAGTGTTCAGCTGAGGATGGCTGTCTTTGGAGAGCATGTGGGCACCTTGCGGGCACTAGGAGTCCCATTCCAACAGGTCAGTCCCATTTCTGCCACTTGAGGTTCCCCCAGTTGTGTCCATTTTCAGTTTCATCCAACTGGTTACACACATATAATGTTATGAAAATTGTGGGAATGCATGGGCATCTTTTTACTTTGTTCGAAAAGGCTTCAGTCTTCTGCGCATTGGGAATGAGTTTCATTCAGACCAGAACTTAGGAAAGTTACTTTTTTGGATTGTAACAGGAGGAACATGATGGCTGGAGGATTCTGAGAATTGTAGTCCAGAAGATAATCTCTGTAATCTGGCTGCTTCTCGGCCCTGAATTTAGGCAGACTAGCATACTTCTCTATCCAGTAGGGGCACTTTAGTCCTCCCAACCAAGGGCATTCTTCCTCACTCGCTCCTCTAATAAATATGGATCAAGCTCTTTGCATAACCTGGTATTTTGATTACAATGATTTTGCTTTCTTGGCTTTGTTTCAGTTCCCCTTACCTCTGGAAAAGTACCTTTCTCCCCCTGAGGACAATCTCAGCCTCTTAAGACAGTACTTCCAAACCCTGGTTACAGGTATCTTGCAGCAGAAGCGATGCCCTATTCTTTATGTGGTTGCTGTGGGCCACATCAACAGCTTCATTTTCTCCCAGGACAGCACTACTCAGGTATGTGATCATCTTTCAAAGTTGGGGCATAATGCATCCTATTTTTCCACCACAATATCATCCCTGTGTTGCTATACTCCACCAGTAGTAGTGTGAACACCAGTTGAGATGTCTGGTGAAAGATAATGAATCATCCTATCTTCCAGTGTCAACAAGGTTTACAAATGGATTTTGAAAAATAAACAAAATGGGCAGTATCATTGTGAGATCTTCCTTTGAAGAAGGCCTGGGAATTTCTCTTTGTTCAGGATACATTTCCCAGGGCTTTGTCCAGGATCACCAGCTCAGATTTCATTATGTCAACCATATGGTTCACTGATTGAATTCTGGAATCAGTTAAAGGCTATTTAAAGCTTCAAATAAATTGATGCCTTCTTCATGAATATGCTACAAAAACATTTTCTCTGCTTCATAGAGCTCTGCATTATGACTTTTCTGGTCAGAATAAAATGCATTATAATGTTTGAAGATTTCTGCTGCATGACAGCCTCTCTGGACATTCAGTGGTTCTACAAGTGAAAAGTCACTAATAGAAGTGATCTCATTTTTGGCATCCACTGTGTTTGGCAGTTTTAGCGCTTGTTATTGACTGTGTTGTAGTAAGCTGTACTGGAGGGGAGGAAGTATCAAACAAGGAATGGAAGCACAAGCAGAGCTTCTAATTGGTTTTCATTCACTTATCTCTCCTGGGAACATACAATAGTGCCAGTCCCTGTTGTGTAACTTAGCATCCCTTGGAACATCCTTACTGTGCCACTGAAACAAAGAATGTGTGGGCAAGTGCTGTGTTCTGCACAACTTTGCCCATAGTAAAATGTGAAATATTTCAAGGAATCCTGAGTTACAGCTTCTGGCTTTCTTTAACCATCATGCCAGTAAACTGAATTCTTAGTGGACCGATTGTGTCACATTGTCCTGCTCATTAAACATGCCAGCAAAAGCTAACATGGAAAGAAATTGTTCCAAAGTAGCAGTCCAAGAAACAATATGCTCAAACTTTTCACTTTATTTATTTATTTAAAACTTTTATATCTCGATCTTCTCTAACCTCCGTAGAGGGACTCAGACCGGCTCACAGCAAGGATTCAATGCTAATAATACAGCCTAAAAACATCATACAATAACAACAAATTAAAATACATATAGATTAAAATTACAAATAAGCCAAATTGCCAAGATAAAAGCATGTCCTACTCAGTCCGTATGTGTGGTCGATAACTTTGTTCTGTAGCCGGTCTCAGTCTTGATGGTTCATAGGGGAGAATAAGTTTGGACAGGTAAAGACTAGTAAGAGGTTGATATGCAGGGGTTGGGTATTTCATAGAATCACAGAATAACAGAGTTGGAAGGGATCCCAAGAGCCATACAGTCCAACCCCCTGCCATGCAGTAATACACAACCAAAGCACCCTTGACAGATGACTATCCAGAACCTGCTTCAAAACCTCCAGAGAAGGAGACTCCTCCATGGTCCGAGGCAGCATATTACATTGCTGAACAGCTCTTGCCATCAGGAAGTTCTTTCTAATGTTTAGGTGGAATATCTTTTCCTCCAATTTGAATCCATTGCTAGTCCTAGATTCCAGAGGAGTAGAAAACAACCTTACTTTCTCCTCAGTGTGACGTCTTTTCAGATATTTAAACCTTTTTTTATCCAGACTAAACATGCATAGTTCCCTAAGGCATTTCTCATAGAGCTTGGTTTCCAAAACTTTGATTATTTTGGTCATCCTTCTCCGAGTTTCTAGTTTGGAAGATTAAAGAATTAGCACTCTTATTCTTAACAAAGTTCTAAAAATACTGGACATCTGGTGCCTTATTTTCTTTTACAGGAGATTGATGCTGCCCGAAAAAATATGCTGCAGAAGACCTGGCTCCTGGCAGATGAGGTAGGCTGTCTGCCTCAACCCCTGTGTTGTTGTATTTCCAATGGAATACTGAATTGTTACATCTCCCTTAACAACACCAACTCTGAAAATCTGTCCACATGGAATATTTGGTTGGGGGTTAGATACTCTCAACTGCACAAAATTCTGCTGATTTTCCATACTTAGCCGATTTTCCAGTTCAAGAATGAAAGAGCCATAGTTTCTAGGGGAATAGTACAATCCAAGTGACAGAAAATTAAGCAAAATCCTAACCAGGGCACAATTCACAGTTCTGGTTATGACAGATAAAGCCTTATATGGCTTGGATCCAGACTATTTGAAAGCCCATTGCTCCCAACATTTCCAAGGAAAGTTACCAGCAACTCAGTATTGCTGTTGTTACAGCACTGCTATGATGGAAATACTCCTGGCAACATAATGAGCTCCTGCTGTTGCCAGTACTATTTGAACTGTACTGTAGTGACAATATGAATTATGGATGATGGGGTGATAGTTGAAGAAAGCCATCCAAACATTTATCTCCCCCCCCCCCCATGCACGCACACACGCAAATCAGTATATTATTTCTAGTAATTTATATTAATATGAGGGCCAAATATTTTTCTTGGCTGAAAAGCTTGTCGTCCTTGGATTATACTGCTGGGGAAATGTGCTTTGCTTTTCAGTTATACTCAGTTTCTTCTTACTCTTTTCAGGTGCTGAAGCGACATCTTCTCTACTACAAATTGCCAAATAAAGACAGCCCAGTGGGCTTTGACCTTTACAAAGAGCTTCCTGCCATTCGAATGAAATACCTATGCACTACGACTAAAAAGGAACACAGAGGGGATGCATCTGTATCAGATTCATAAAGAAGAACCATGGCAGCTGAGTGGAGAAAAGAGAGCAAGTTATGTGATTTTTTTTTTTTTTGCATGGGTCTACCCAAAGCACCAGGACTGTTAGCCTTAGAATGGCCTGACCTTGCTAGAACCTTCAACTATCATTTTATTGCCTCTTTCTATGTAGGTTTCATATACATGAAATTACAAAAGTGGAGGAAAATATGAAAAATGATTATATGTATCAAGATGGAGAACTATTTTTTTAAATAAAAATAAATTATGGTAGTAATGATTGGGTGTTGGTAGCCTTTATTAACATTGATATCCCATATTGGAAGAGAGATAATAAATAGGATACCTTATTTATATTCCACTCTATTTCCCTTAGGGGACTCAGAGCAGAATACAGAACACATGTATGGCAAACATTCAATGCCGATGTACAATTAAGAGGGACAAACAATACATAAACAGGTATAGGCTTTCCCATCTTTTTCCATCTCCGGGATCTGGCCATAGGGAGGTGTTCCATGGCACTTGGTTGTTCGTATATGTCCTCCCAATCAAATAGCCAGCATGTCCTTATGGGTGGCTTTTATTACCTCTCCACTTAAAGCGGGACCTATTTATCTAATCACACTGCTGTTTTCGATCTGCTAGGTGAGCAGAAGCTGGGCTGACGGCTGGGAGCTCACCCTGACTCGGGCTTGAACTGTCAATCTTTTGATTGGCAAGGTTTTCTGCAGTTGGCGGTTTAACCTGTGCTAAAGCCTGCCCCAGAGATTATCTTCCAGTCTGAACACTTAATTGCCACCGTAACCAAAATGCTAACCTGAAGAGAATTAAAGTATCCTGGAAAGAGTAAAATCCAGTTGTTAGTCCAAAATAGAGTAAATCCAATGAATTAGTGGGGAGCTTAATGACATGGGGATTTATCGAGTGCCCATTGATTCATTGGGGCTGTTCTAAATGGTGCTAACAATCAGCTTTAAGGTGCGACTCTCCAGAATTGTTCTTGGGGAAGTGATTTAAAGCTTTATATGTACTGGATTGCATTTCATGCATGTGGAGAGAGACTCCTGGTCACCCAAGTTCTATGTATGTTGAATGCAGTGCTAATAACCCAGAAAAAACCTAAACCTTTTGACATGACTACTTACATGATACAATGGGGGAAGTGTAGAGAGTATGTCTTGAGCCCTGATTCAGCCACCTTGACTCCTACTTTTGGAGGAAAGGCATGCTGCAAACAAAAGTTCAAGAACCAATGTGATAAAGTGGTTTGTGTGGTGGATTTGGACTCTGCAATACAGGGGTTCAAATCCTTGGTCAGCCAAGAAAACTGACTGGAGAAAGGCAATGGTAAACAACCCTGAATAAACCATTCCAAGAAAGTGCCTGCATATGGTTACCATAAGCCAGAGTTGAAATGAAGGCCCATAACAAGTCTACTGAATGCTGCAGCTGTTCTGTGCCAGACATTTCATGAAACACCATTAGAAGTTTTCATCTTTTTATAAAGCCACCTGCCTCTCCCTCCTTCCCTGTCTCTCTGCATTAGCTGCTGCTTCTCTCTTTATTTTTGTAACCTTATTATTTTTAATAAAGTTATCATGTGCAGTACAGGATGTTTTGGCAGCTGCAACCACTCTATGGAAAAGAAAAGGAAACGTGTATGCTTGGTTTTTGGAAAGACAAACTGCAATAAGTGGAGCTTCCACAATCTCAAAGTATGTCTAAAGCTGCCAACTTTTTGTTGGGGAAACAATTTTTATTCAGGCCAAGATTCATAGCCGGGTTACAAGCCTGCTCTTTGATCTTTCCACGATTCAAATGGAGAAAATGTGTCAATGACTTGTTTTGTTTTTTCAAAGCCCCAGCTTATTGTACTATTAGCAGTATTTATTTTGCACAGTTGTAAGATGTAAGCTGTCCTGCTTCTTTGTATTCCTTCCTAGGAAATGCCTTAAAATATAATTCTTTTGTGTGCTAGAAGTAGGATCGATCAATCTGGTATCAAGACTGAAACACCAAGCCGTCTTCATGGTCATGATCTTCTATAAAACATCCTAGAAATGCTGGTTTTCTTTTTCACTCTTCAAGCTCCTGCATTATGCTAAACGTTAGCAGAGCTGCTATGCCTGCAAAAGTCTTCCGGGGCTGCGAATCAAAGCTCATTTCACTGTAAAATCCTCCTAAGCTTTAAAGGTACTTCTCTCTATAGATACTAGCCCAAGTTTCAACATCTGCTGGGGAAGATGTATGTGCCAAAGAGCAAACTCAATGCACCATGTTGAGTCCTGGCTGTTGGAACAGGCGTTCGGCTAAATAGTGCAATAAACACGATGAATATAGGAAACGGAATTATGGATGATGAATTGGATCACGATTTTAGTTACGAGACGTTAATGTGTTGTTATTGAGATGTCATTAGTTTGTATTTTATACTGTTAATGGTTTTAATACTGTATGTTGTTGGACTGACTTTTGCTCTTGTTGTGAACCGCGTTGAGTCGCCTACGGGCTGAGAAACTGCGGCATACAAGCAAAGTAAGTAAATAAATAAATATAACAGTGATTCCCAACCTTTTTTTGGCCATGCCCCACCTAAGCAACTCTAAAATCCTGATGCCTCCCCCCCCCCCAGTGATATATTCTTATTATTGAAAAAGTGAACTCTTATTCACACTGAGAAAGCCTAAAAGGTCATTTACTTGGACTAAATAAGCTTCCAAAAGCATGGCATCCATGAAAGAGAGAAACAAAAGAATGAATTGATTGAGAAATCTGCATCGTATTCAGGGTAACAAGTGTCCAACTTCATTGTGTATATTTGGTGAGAACATGCAAGGATATACTGTCACCTGATGTCAATTTTCTTGCAGCTAACAATATATATATATATTTAATTCATACAAAAATATTGACTTCCCTATAAAAGTAATAATTGTGCTTTGGATTTTGTCCAAGGACCAGGGAAGTGCCACCCAACTCCCAAAAGGACCTGTCATCATGACCAAGGACAAAGTAGAGACCACCATAACATGGAGGATGGTGGGGACCTCAGGGTGGTTGACCAATTGTGTTGGACCATGTTCAGCACTGTTGGGCAGTAGGGACTCTCTCTCACTTTTTTTGGCCATGCCCCACCTAAGCAACAAAGAACAAAAAGACATTTTAATGTATTTTGTATAGCTTGCCATGTTAAAAGAATACTGAAAGGAGTGGGATGTTTGGAATGAAAGTGTCCTCCCATTTCTGTTCTCCTTCACTCTCTTCTTAACTCCATGCTCTCACCACTCCTCCATATGAGGGGATTTTTCCCCCTCTCTGTTTCACCAGCTGACGGGCCTGTACATTCTGATTTTGATTCTAAAAATGTCTATGCCACAATATATATTTATACACTGTATATGAAGCCCCTAGAACCATAAGAAACGCAAAAAAGAAAAAAAAACACTGTTAATAACTCATTCTCAAATTGCCACCCTTAAAAATTAAATTGCCCCTGTGGGACACATGCTTGATGTTGGGAACCAGGGGTTTAGAGTGAACCCCTTTTCGCTGAGGTATTCTGCTCATGGAATGCAATTTCTAGAGGTCCAATTGGCACTCCACTAGGTATTTTGAGGTGCAGTATCTCAGAACATGGCATAAAAAGGAAGAAATGAGAGGGAGAGGAGGGAAAAAAGAAAATACATGTAATAGCTTTAAATGTTTTTATTTTAGAGTAAACTTTTTTGATGCAAGTTCACTTTTTTAGAAGCAGTTTGTTGTTGTTCATTCGTTCAGTCATTTCCGACTCTCTGTGACCTCATGGACCAGTCCACGCCAGAGCTCCCTGTTGGCCATCACCACCCCCAGCTCCTTCAAGGTCAATCCAGTCACTTCAAGGATGCCATCCATCCATCTTGCCCTTGATCGGCCCCTCTTCCTTTTTCTTCCATTTCCCCATGCATAATTGTCTTCTCTAAGCTTTCCTTTCTTCTCATGATATGGCCAAAGTACTTCATCTTGGCCTCTACTATCCTTCCCTCCAATGAGCAATCGGGCTTTATTTCTTGAAGCATGGACTGGTTGGATCTTCTGGCAGTCCAAGGCACTCTCGGAACTTTCCTCCAACACCACAGTTCAAAAGCATCTATCTTCCTTCGCTCAGCTTTCCCTAAGGTCCAGCTCTCACATCCATAGGTGATTATGGGCAATATCATTGCTTTAACTATGCGGATCTTCGTTGCCAATGTGATTTCTACACTATCTTATCAAGATTGGGCATTGCTCTCCTCCCAAGAAGTAAGTGTCTCCTGATTTCCTGGCTGTAGTCTGCGTCTGCAGTAAGAAGCAGTATTAAAGGTGTCGATATAAAGCATATTTATACAACTGTATGCTTGTTTTGCATGACTCCCACCATTTATAGTGTCTCCTATTCGTTTGAGACCCAGAGAAGGACAAGTTGCTTGCAATGGGCCCTTAGTATCTGCTGGGATTTTAGGGAGGGGATATTTTCAAACCAAGATTGATTGAATCCATGGGTGCAGATTCTGTATATATGGAGGACAACAAGTTCTTTGAGGGGTCATCTGTGAACGCACAACACGCCACCCGCCCTTCCTCCCTACACTGTTTTGTCCTGCTCTCCCAAGATGCTACTATCATGTTCAGGAAACGGGAGGGTTTGAACAGGAATCATGCTGGTTATATGCACCAAGGTAGGGGGGCTACTGCCAAAATGCTTACATAATACTGCCCAACATACATTTTGGAGCCTCAAATGATAGTCCAGTTTCTGGATATATTTAATCTGCTGATTCCAGTTCCGTCATCAGCTCTTGTTTTTGAGATACAGAACATATGCCATCTACAAGTTGCCACCGGCTCGTTTATAGAAAATCATAACTATATCTAAGAAACAACAGCTGATGTGATCTATCCAATACCAATTTTTGAATAGTTACTCCAAATAACTCCAGGAATATGTCTAAAAATCAAGATACCCAAGAAATTATTTTAGTTTGGCTAGAAGGTTCAGAATGGTGCACTATGTAGGTGCAGAAAACACAATTTGTGTAAGTTCAAGGGGATTATTCAAAGAATTTCAATTACAAGTAAGTAACTCTACTAAGAACAACTCTTGAGTATGTGAATATTCATGCAATCAATAAATGTCAGTTTGTTTTTGTTTACTTAACTGTTGTCCCCCAGTAGGGCAACTGTTGTTCACAGACCTGAGCATCTTTCCTATCTGAAATGGTAATAATTTCAATGAAATCAATTTGAAAAGCAAAGTTA